AGAGACTATTATGGACCGAATGTTTAAAGAAGATTTACAACGACAAATTTGGAAATACAATTCTAAAAATGAATATTTTACATTACAAACATTACTGACATACGCAAAAGAAAATTTGGAATTTAAGAGAGGGCAAACAAGTTTATATAAAATTTTAAAATCTATGGGACATAAATTTAAATTAGTAAATGGACGTAAAATTTTATGTGAGCAGAAACATGTTCTTGCTGCCAAAATTACATTTTTGCGGAAATACCTGCATACTTTTGAAAATATCCTTTCCTACGACTGCCTAGAAAGCTATTAAAAACGCATCACCAACTTACCTAGAAAATCGATTATTTCGCACAGCGTGCGAAAAGTACTTTTTCTACGAGCGTGCGGAAAAGTGCACTTATCCGCACGCATTTTAGTTTGGAAAGTTTCACTTTTCCGCACTAGTGCGGAAAAAAGTTTCTTCCGCACTAGTGCGGAAAAGTGACAGATGTCACTTTTTAAATTTTGAGCAATTTGAGCTGACACACTTTCACAAATATCAGCATTGAGAATTATTGAAACAATAATGTTATTTATTAAATTATTTTGGTTTAAACTCAACTTTTTTTGTGAAGTTACTATAGAATGGTTACTTTATGCCCGAAAATTTCGAAAATTTCATAGTAGATACATTAAACGTGCAAATTATTGTTAAAAGTTCTCGATTTTATTGTATTCAGAATAAGGCACATTATTTCAAAATTAGTTTTTTTTTTTAAATCAATAAATAAATAAGATTTATTTCTAAGAGTAGGTACCTAATTTATATTAAGAAAAAATTACTCGATTTGTTTTTAATACCAGGTGTTGCAGAAGAAATATCAAATATTGGTGTTAAAATTTACATTACAGGTATATTCCTTCTATCTCGTAGAAAATATAGTGTTCCTAACAAGTGCGGAAAGTGCCACTTTTCCGCACGCGATTGCAGTTTGCCGAACGACGCGTAGCGGAGTTCGGCAAGCAATCAAGTGAGGAAAAGAGACTTTCCGCACTATTTCACACGCTCCGACCGTGCGAAAAGTACTTTTCGCACGCTAAAATAAAAATGACACTTCCATTGAATTTTTGTTCTACAAGCAACTCTGAGTGCATTCAGCGTACGTACCAAAATTGTTCGTTGATTATAATTTCAAATAATAATTTTTCAACAAAAAAAGAAATAAATAAATTCCAATGTGAATATAGTTAAAGTTATTTCGCAGTCGTAGAAAAAGTATACAGGGTGTAACAGGTATGACTACAAATATTTCAACACGAGATAATATGGCTCATTTCAAGCTAAAACTGTCCTATTAACCATGGGTCAATTGTTAGTATTTTCGGAGTTATCGCAGAATTTAAATTTAGAAAAATGTTAACAACGTGACAACATTGTACAGGTATTATCTCTGTCAGGATATAAATGTAAATAAAACTGGTAAATTTAAAAACTTTTTTTTGCACGGAGTTTATTTATTTCCATCTGTTTACGTTTTGATTTGTTATTATGGCTTTCAAATAATGTAAATAATAACTTGCATTTTCATCACTTTTCTAGTAAAAATAAAAAATGTGCCGTTTTATTAAGTTGTGAATTGCACCATTGCACTCAATTACATTTTTGCACTAAACATTCAAGAGAAAAATCAAATAATACTTACTCAGCTACAGAGCTGGGAGTAACGACAAAAAAAAGTTACTTTACTTTAACGAGTTACTGAAAGTAACGCGTTACTTGGTAACTTCGTTACTTTTCAGATTGATTGATAAGTAACTGTAACGACGTTACTTTCCTGAAGTAACGCTGGAAGTAACGCGTTACTAGTTACTATGAAAGTAACTCGTTCTCACAATTTGTTTATCTTCTTTACAAATAATTGACGAGTGAGGAAAAGGAAAATAAGTAATCCAAAAACTTTGTATGTCAAATAAAATGTTGGTAGTACAGAAAATTTGTTTTGAAAGCTCAAAATAATCGTTTTTGGGCGTGCCACGCGCCGCCTCTGCTCTAAAGACACTCTATGCAGACACTGGGACGCTTCAAAGAGCAGGTTTGTCCAAAACCAAGTGCTCTATTCAGTCGCTTAATCCTTAATCCGCTTGAATTTTGCAAGAATACTCTTCCACATAGTCGGACTCACAAACTAAAAACATATTGGCATTTCGTATAGGTCTTATTTGATTGTTTGGACTGCTGTGTTGGTGAGTCAAATTAAGGAATAACGCAATTTTCGACGTAACTATTTATTTTTCAAGTAACGCGTTACTTTAAAAGTAACGAACTACTTTTAAAGTAAAGAAGTTACTTTCAAAGTAAAGAAGTTACAGTAACGCGTTACTTTCCAATAAGTAACGAAAATAAAGTTATCATTATTCGAAAGTAACTGTAAATTTTAAGTAACGAGTTATTTTTAAACAAAAGTAACTGTAAAGTAACGCGTTACTTTTTTCAAGTAACGATCCCAGCTCTGCTCAGCTACTTGTCAAATCCTTATTATGAAAATATTAATTTTTGTTAAAAGGTTCTCAAAACACTAAAATCAACACGCAGATTTTGCACACTCACAAAACGTACTTCCTGTGTCACGCAATCTTTTTAAAACGGGCATAATGTTCTTTCATCAGGTGGGTGCTTTTCTTTTGGGAAATCTCTCCCTAGCTTCCTTGTAAATTCTGGCGGCTAAATGAGCATTTTGCAACGTTTCTGCCTAAACAAATATCTGCATATTCCATGTTTCTAAACATTTTATTTTCAAAAAAGAATGAATTTGAATTACGCGCGTTTCCCAACTAGAAAATCAAGAATCAATTTATTCAGCTACACGAGGACAGTGCGGTACACAGGTTCAACCTTCAACCACCTATTCTTTATTGTGCTGAGTTGCCAAATGTTTAGATACCCTTTTACAAGTGAAATTTGTATATTGTTTTTTCAATTTTTTGTTATTGTTGTTGACTAAAAATGCATAATTACTTAATAATTGGATTAACTGAATTTTTCTACGTCTCATAATGATTAAAATTTTCTTTACCTTTAAAATATTCGTTAAAAAATGTCAAAACTTCAAAGGCCTTTTTCTCAAAAATGGTTGACTTTGGACCCCATGTTGTATAAACTTTTTTTGTTCAAAATCGGCCATATTTTCACGTGTTAAAATGTTTGTAGTCAAACCTGATACACCCTGTAGTGTGTAACGCGTGTGAAACGCACTTTTCACACTATTTTCAACACTTGTTGCACAATATACTATTTTCTACTACCGTGCGTAAAGTACTCACTTTACGCACTATTCAAAAGATGTAAAATTTCACTTCACGCACTAGGTACCTATTGTCACCTTTTTATAATATGTTTATTATATGTTTATACAGGGTGTCCACTTAGTGCGATATCGGACGATATCTCCTTACAGGGTGATGCAAGAAAAAAAAAACCAAATTACAAAGTTGTTTGATACTTTAATATGCATTAGTTAAAAAAAAATTGAATATACAGAGTGCTCTGTTTATAGGGTATGCGACAGAACTTTGTTTTTTTTGAATGGAACACCCTGTATGTGATTGCATTTTTGGATTCTACGTAAAATTCTGAGCAGATTTTATGTAATGTACCCTATACCTAAGTTCAACTGTTTTGGAAATATTGACAGTTGAAAATTGACTTTTTGGAACTTTGACAGGCGGTAAAACCTAAACGGTTAATTTTAGACGAAAATCGTTTTCACATTCCTGTCTTGGATTTTCATAAACTATCATTCGACACCAACTCTCAATTTAATCCATGATTGAAAAAAACAGTTAAATTTAATCTCCAGTTAAATTCAAAGTTGGTGGTAAATGATAGTTCATGAAAATCTAAAATAGGAATGTTAAATCGGTTTTCCTCTAAAATTAACCATTTAGGTTTTACAGCCTGTCAAAGTTGCAAAAAGTCAATTTTTAACTGTCAATATTTCCAAAACAGTTGAACTTAGGTATAGGGTATATTGAATGAAATCTGCTCAGAATTTTACGTAGAATCTAAATATGCAATCACATACAGGGTGTTTCATTAAAAATAACAAATTTTTGTCGCTTACCCAATAAACGGAGCACCCTGTATATTCAAAAATATTTTAAACTAATGCATATTAGAGTATCAAACAACTTTATAATTAAATTTTTTTTTCTTGCACCACTCTGCAAAGAGATATCGTCCAATATCGCACTAAGTGGACACCCTGTATATAGGGTGTCCCAGGGAAAACAGTCCACCCCGATTTATTGGATTTAGGATGAGAATCTGGGAAAACGCTCGGACACCCTGTATGTTTAACCCTTTCAGTACGGCTGACCTATATATCTGCCACATACAAATTTAATTTAGTAGGTACACAGACGGCTATCCGATATATGTAACATCGAGTTATTCATACTCCATGGACTAAATGTCATATATTTCAGACAAATTTGAAAAATGAATTTGCCGTACAGACGACTGACCGAATAATCGGCCACACATATCCATGCCACACCATGAACGACCGAAATATACGACAGTCGTCGGGGAGGCAAGTTCTGTAAGTACCCTAGGTCACTAAGGGCTAGTATCATTCAAAATGTCGGTAGAGGAGCAGCCAGGACCTTCAAAAAAGCGGGAGCCCATTGTGATTACGATAATAGTTATTGCGAATTGGATCAACGTGAGGTACCTACTCCATATTAATGCATTGCTCAAAACCAATGTAGGCAGATATAATCTGACACCCGTCAATCCGGCACGCAAAAAACTGCCGTCCACACACTAAAACAAGTGAAAATACCGCCGTCCTGAAAGAGTTAAAACATGAAAAATGATGTTTAGTACTGGGGTACTGGTTTGGTAGACTTTGATGTGTGTATCAGTTTAGTTGTTTATCACAGAATCGCTTATAGAAAAATATATTCATTATAAAATAATTAAATTCCAATAGAATCTTTATAATTTTTCCTATTCCCGGCTCTTAATATTTCCTTATTTTTTTATTCGAAATTCTTAACTTTCTTTTGGCTCTCGAATTTTTTCATTCCAATTTCTGAATTCTCATTATTCCCGTATTTTAGAATTTCAAGCTCTTGATTTTTTTTAAATTTTTACTCCTAGCTCTTCTTCCAAATTGAATTTTGATTGTTTTCGTTTAAAAGAAATCAAGAATTTAAGAGAGTAGCGTTTTGAATAGACAAAAATTGAAAGTTATAAATGAGTAATAATAACGAAATATTAGACCTGAAGAAGGCAGACGTCTGAAAGACGTTGGGTTTTGTAACATACGACAGGTGTATGTCGTTTGTGGGCATCTTTAAGATGTCTCTATGGTGTCTGGGCAGCTAGACATTAGAAGCTCCTTGACCAAATGATATCGGGAAAAGGTTGAAGAGAACAAAACCTTCAGTCATGTGAAAAAGTTCAAAAGCAGAACACAGCGTTAAAGTCTATCAAAATCAATATAAAAATTATTACCTACCTGATGATAGGGTGTCATATTAAACGAAGTTAGATTTATTCATTAACTATTATCTCTCAGCTGTTCTAGATCGCTGTCAATCAAAAGAAAAATTCTTATTGCAAAATTGTCTCTACAGAGTCCAAAAATAATATCACAAAATTTGTCCGGTTTAAGGCGTTAAGAAGAGTTTCTATTAAAATAAAAAATCATACTAAATACACAGACTGCATTTACTGCTTTTTATTTAAGAACTACAGTATAACATGTAAAACTTTAACAATTCGGCAGCTATTTTAATCTATAGTTCATTCAGTCAAAGTAGTTTTACTTTTACATATTATATATTTTGTACATAAATCGCTGTTGAAACACATTAAAAAATTTACAACTATAAACAAAACTTTACAATAAATAAATACGGTTATTTTATACATCTTAAAAGTTATCACTTAATATCTATGGAGCAACAAAAAAAAAAAAACATTATAGTATCATCTGGCATTGACTAGAATTTATGTTGGAATGACTGACATAGGCTTACATGCTAAATTAAATTTATTACTTACCCACATGAATATAGGTATATTATATTTAGTATGTATAGATATAGACAAAATAAACTAGGTTTAGTTTGATAGGGGTTCTTTGGTCCAAAGATGAAAAAACAATAACATTGATGCTGAAAACAATATCAATAAAGAAGCAATTTTTTTTTTAATATCTAATTGATATGGATACGACAAAATCGATTACACTTACGACTACTATATCTAAGATTCAATGAAGAGTTTTCTAAATATCTTAATAAGTTAATGCAATTTTTACTGGTTCATGAATAATTTTTAAATGGTTACAAGGTTTAGTTGATTCGTAAAGTTAGGCCGTAAACAAAAACAGAATTGATTGCATCAATGACACACATGGCAGGGGCTAGCTTGAAAGTAACTCAGAGACGCAGCATAAAGTAATTTGAATTGCCAGTCAGTTTAGATTAATTAAGAAGTAATTTTTCCAAGTATGCTTTTTCTAAGTTACTCTAGAAGTAATTTGAACTTTGATGCAACTAAAGGTACCTAATAATTGCCTGGATAAGTCATTGATGTATATTTTTCACACAACTTTTTAGATAGAAAGATGTACAAATGAAAATGGAAGACAATGAGAAATATGACATTTCCATTATAATATCAAAACATTTATTGGGTTTGTGCCAGATCATGTTAGTTGATAATCATTATTTGATATTAGATTATACACCCACCACTTCTTCAAGAGGCCAGTTTGGAAACTACCTTGTTCAAACAAAATCAAATTTAAAGTCACATGTAAAGAAATCTGATGTCGTTTCCGAACTCGCCAATTACTTTTACAGTGCATATTAATTCAACAAATTCTTACATTTTAGAAAATGTAGAAATTCATTGAATTCAAATGGGCCTAACTATTCTAAACTTATCGATTTACCCATTGTTTTAAAGCCTCTTCGAATTCTATCGTTTCTTTGTTTCTGACCTCCTGGTGCTCATTAGATGCATCACGATTTTCCATTTGCTGCGCATCTTGACTGGCATGGTTATCTTGTCTCGAGAACTAGAACAAAATAACAATCAGACACTAATTGTATGCTATTTTTATAGCTGAGGACTGTGCTACTATGTGCGAAAAAAAAAGGAGGAATAGGAAATATTTTTTTTTTTACACAATTTGATTTATTAATAAGCAAAATGTTAATAAAAAAAACAACAATTAATATTGTAAGCTGCAGGCATGCAATATTTTAAGCATTGGATGTGTTTTACAAACACACCTGTTGTGCAAAATGATCTTGCATCTGTCCGCCACCATTTTGAGATCCAGGATAATGTATGCCTTGCATTATAAAATTCTGTCCGTGAATGTAGTTTTGTTGTCTCTCGGGATACGGTTGGTTTTGGAAATGATTGCCTTCGGGCGGACTGGAGGGATGTCTGGCACGAAGTTCAGCCATGAAATTGGCATCTTGCATGTATCTACGTTGAAGCTCTTGTTGCCACCCTCCGTCGGATTCATCTTCTCCGTCATCTTCGAAATCTGTAGACAAAAATGTACTAAAACTTAGAATTTTTTTTAGAGAATCTTATCCACAAATTATTCCTGGAAAACATCAGGAAATTTGAAATATTATTCTCCTTCTTTTTTTCAGGAAATTGGTAGTTCAAGCAAGAGGTTGTATGACTGATCTCTATGTACACCTAAAAACTTAGTAGAGTACCAGCGTACCAGAAAAAGACCATGAAATTTATATAAATTGTCAAATTTCGGGTAAAGGCGACCACGATAGCGCGCGGCAAATTTGAAATTCGGATTCAGCACACCTGAAAACATAAAGATCAGTCATAAAACCTAAGCCCAGGGATTTTTTCTTCAAAACACCCTTTCCTGAAACCGATTTTCTGGACTATTTATAGATGAATGCAACAAGAGGTATAATGCTTCTTCAATTTATTTATTTTCTCATCAAACCTCTTGTTATTTCTATCCATAGACACGTTATACGACATAAATTTCTTTTTAGCACTAGGATAAGTAAAATAAATAAAAAAACTTGTGGATTGTTTGTGTAAGCAATGACTAAAGCTGAATCATTAGGCACATGCTCAATGTTTTTGCAAAAAGCCAAAATATCTCAATCTCATACAGTCTATCTTCACTCTTCATTTTATAAAAAATATAATCAGTTGAACATGTTTTGGATCTATCATAGATCCATCATCAGCATAAATTCTACAAGGCACAAAATATGGGAGTTAGGGAGAGTTAGGATGTATATATCAAAAAACTTACCAAATAGTAGGGGGGGAATATGGCTACATAACATACGAAATGCCATATTCCTCTCTACCATTTGGTAAGTTTTTTGATATAAATATACATCCTTACTCTTCCTAAATCCCATATTTTGCGCCTTGTAGAATTTATGCTGATGATGGATCCGAAACATGTTCAACTGAATATATTTTCCATAAAATAAAGAGTGAAGATAGACTGTGTGTTTTACTCCCACTATTCTCTTCACTGTTGACACATGGACTACTATTTCAAAATTTCAATAATAAATGTTGTGAAAGCTATGAAGAATGTAGTAGGCATGACTTTAATTAAAAATAAATTTCATTATTTAACAAATTATGACTCTTTTCTTTGTAAATCATGCAATCTTATTTCAAAATAAAATACTTACTAAAAATGTTCTCGTATTAATCCACATTATAGGTGAACGTCAGCAAGACAACAATCATTCTGTACAGGCAGCATTCCATAATAGACACTTCTACCACAGTAGATATTTTTTTTCTATGCAAAATGTGTATATGTTTCAAAAAAAAAAAAAATCACCAAACCAAAAAAAAATAAAAATAAGACACAACTTACCTATATCACACACCAATAATTAAACTATGTACTTACAAGCCAAATATTGTGTCTCAATAAAAAATTAAAACGAAAAATTTTAAAACAAAATACTGTGTTTAATAAATAAAAAAATATCAACATTGTAAAAAGGAATGAGAAAAATTAACAACAAAAAATCAATATAAAAAATATACGAAATTTACAACAAAAATCACAAAATAGTACTTCGTGGAAATAATTTAACACTATGTAACAATATGCTACACCTAAATAATTGGATCATAAATATTTATTATTTTTTGTTAAATGCCAGAAAAAAAAAATACAGAATTATTTTTGATGTGGAATAAATGCCTCAAGTAAACTAAAGTCTCTAAAAGTAGTTCCACTTTCTTATAACAATTTTTAGGTGCTAAAAGTCTAAATTTTTGTTATCTTAACTTAACATTATTCCTAACAATAATAAGAGTATTTTTCAGATCTAATATTGAGTTCACTAATATCAATTTTGACGCACAATGTAATGTGACTTACATTTTCAACCATAAATTACGATACAAGCAAGTTACAAAACACATTCACATCTATCTATCCGTACCTGAATTCAATTCTCGAACTAAAGTTGACATGGCATTTGTGACGGAATCCGCTGCTACCAGTAGATCATTCCTGAGGGAACGATTCATGGAACCTGGAGTTCCATTTCCATTAGAACCTAGAAAAATTTAGAGTAATTATTTCAATTAATGTATGACGAAAATCGAAATTATTATTATTATTATTTTCGGTTTCTACTCGGTTAGACCGGTGCGATTTTTCATACCATTTTATGCGGCCAAAGTCTTGCATACATTTTCTTATTGTTTGTCTGTGTGTTGATTTAAAAACAGTCGGGTTATATGACAGGACACCTAATGGTCATTTGGGATACCCCAAACTCCATACACTAAATTATTCTCAGATTTGAAGCCGAAATCTATGAAAAAAGGCACTCAGAAAAATTGAATAATTGATAAATCACCCCAAATTGTTTAACACGATTTTATCTCAGGAACTATAAATGCAAATGAGCTGAAATTTCCAAGGATTGTAGTCCCTTGATTGGGATAAAATTCAGTGAAAGTTTCAGCTTTCTATCTATAATAGAAAAAAAGTTATGACCTTTCAAAGTTTTCCAATATCTAAATCATAAGGTAGGTACAGGGTGATCTATTATAAATGTCACCCCCTGCTAACTTTATCATTTGACGTTTTTGACAGAAGTGTCAAATACAAAATTTTTAAGAAATTGTCAAAAGTCTTTAACTAAGTTAGTTTTAGGCATACAGGGTGCGTCAAAAAAGTGCAGCAGTGTGAAGTTATATTTTCTTAAATGGAACACCCTGTATATTGTGCGCCTATTTGTTAGTCCCCTTTAACCTGATTTCAACGATATACGATTTGATATGTTTATCTCTCGGTTTATCTTCAATAGTTATAAGGAAAAACGCGAAAATCCCTTGCTAGGTCTCTCATGTTATTTTTTCAAAAATAATAATAATAACTTAGACACCTGGATTTATTATAATATTTCACCTTGTATATTAATAAATAAAATTTGAACAATAAACTGTTCATAAAAAAAATTGTCTACAGCTTAAATGGTATAATTTTTCATTTTTCAATATGAAACCTTGAAAGGGGTTTTCATGTTTTTCCCTGTAAATATCGAAGATAGACATATCAAATCGTCTATCGTTAAAATCAGGTTAAAAGGGACTAACAAATAAGCGCACAATATGCAGGGTGTTCCATTTAAAAAAATATAACTTCACACTGCTACACTTTTTTGACACACCCTGTATGTCTAGAACTGAATTAGTTAAAAACTTTCGACAATTTATTGAAACTTTTGTAAGGTCAGTTGGGGTAAGTGCGATACAAAATTTAGCGACTTCAAATATATTCTTCCTCTACACTTCTGAATATTTTCAGGTGATCGTAATATGTTCACATATTATTTATACAAGCCATAACTATGAGTTAAAGCCTAAATCACGTTTATTTACAGCTTAATTTTTAAAATTTACGATTTTTTTATAATTAGGCCAAGTGGACGCACTTACCTCGGAACATGGGGTAAGTGCGAATTTGAATATATCTTTGTACCTAAAACACATAGAGTGAAGCTAGGGGTAAGAGCGTTTTAGTCATATTTTTTGGATCAAAATGGTTTTTTTGAATCTAAAATATCTTTATTCTGAACAAAGTTACAAACTCAATAATTTCAAATAAATAAGACCCACTTAAGCAAAAATAAACAAAAATTATTAAGTAGCTGTAACAGTATTAAATGATAACTTTAAACTTTAAAGGTGATTCTAAACTTAGAATAAACGAGCTTAAAAACTTTATTCTACCGTGTATCCGCTAAATGATAATTGGAATGATATTTCTCCTCGCCGTTCATTTTCGGAATAGGCACCAACTTCACAATGTGTGTTTCGAAGACGAGGAAAATATCGTCAACTAAGGGAAACTTAAAAATATGTCCCCTCTAAAAGAATGGGGTAAGTGCGGACTATTCATAAATGCAAAAGGACGCACTTAGCCCTACTACATATTTTCAGGGGTAAGTGCGTCCACAGCTGTACTTATTATTTAGAAGCATTTGGACCTTAAAAATATCAAACAACCTTTACTTTATTGATATTTAATCCCACCTACACCATAAAACTAAAATTATGGCATAAAATTTAAAAATTAGGGATTTTTCATAAAATACTCACCTACTCGCTTTCCAACTTCAAATAGTACCGTACGGTTAGAACTGTGACAGCTGACTTATGGTGCGGCGCAATAATGCTAGATATTTTTTACGCTAAAAGTACTTTGTACACAGCACATTAACACAGTTTTGGAGCCAGCAATCTGTATGATTCTTTTATTATATGAACCAGACGCTGTTACCCCAAATACGCACTTACCCCAACTGACCTTATTTGACACTTTTGTCAAAAATGTCAAATGAAAATACATAAATTCACTTTTAAAAGTAAACATAAATGGGGACGCAATATCGTATGCAGATGACACAGTTTTAATTTTTAAAGATAAAACATGGGAAGAGGTTAGAGCCAAGGTGCAAAATGGTCTAACTTTGGTAAAGAATTGGCTTCAAACTTTCAGACTCCGACTAAATTTAACAAAAACCAATTATATTGCTTTTTCCTTAACATTTGCTAACAGACCACCATTTACATCAATAGCAATAGATACACAAATTATCAAGGAAGTTGCACATACTAAGTATCTTGGAATTGTGATCGACCAATTTCTTAAGTGGAAGCCTCATATAGATTGTGTTTCAAATAAAATTGCAAAATTAATACATAAATTTTATCTATTAAGGGAATTCCTCAACAAGAAGGTATTAGTTATTATATATAAATCACTAGTTGAATCATTGCTTACCTATGGGATTGTGGTCTGGGGAGGGTTATACAAAACTCATCTTGAAAAACTAAATGTCATGCAAAAATATATCTTAAAACTAGTATATAGGAAAAATAAGAGATATCCGACACATCTTATATTTACATTGGAGACCTGTAATATACGTACACTATACATGACTGCAGTAAGTAGCTATGTACAAAAAAATGACTATCTGAAAGACCATATAAACCATGAACACAGTACACGAAACAACCTTAACCACCACATAAATATACCTCGTAGTTTCAATAATAGCAATCTGACTTTTTTTTCTTATATCGGGCCTAAAGTTTATAATCAGTTGCCAAATAGCATAAGAGGTATTCAGAAGGGAAAGAAATTCACTGAGAAATGTAAAGAGTATATTTTTTCTAATATTGGATCATTCTCAACTGTTTTTTGCTAAATAATGTATGTGACAATTATACCTAAAATTAATGTGTACTGTATCACTCAACAGTTTATTTTTTTTTTCTTCTTGACTTTAGTAAATTATAAAGAGCTTTCTTTTTTTCTTCACATAGTGACATAGAAGGCACACACAGGGGTTTCAAACACCTAGGTGCCTTGGGCATAACTTGTATAGAACATAGCAGAATACCTGATAGATTAGTTAATTAATTAATGTATTTGTATTTTTTACTAGCCAAGTGCTAAATAAAGTTAAAAAAAAAAAAAAAAGTTAAAAAGGGGTGACATTTATAATAGATCACCCTGTACCTTCTTACTAAAACGATGAAATTTCAATTTTTTTTTTGTCGAGATTTTGTATCCTAATAGTCAATCAACATCCCCCAAACTCCATAAACTAAACTATTCTCAGATTTGAAGCCGAAATCTATGAAAAAAGGCACTCAGAAAAATTGAAAAATTGATAAATCACCCCAAATTACTTAACACGATTTTATCTCAGGAACTATACATCCAAATGAGTTGAAATTTTCAAGGATTGTAGTCCTCTACTGGAATAAGAATCGCTGAAAATTTCAGCTTTATATCTTTGATAGGAAAAAAGAAAAAAAAAAACAGACTTTATTATTTTCTGTCAATATGGCAATGGCGCAGTATTATCACAGGTATTATACCAGGGACCAGGGTACATTTATGATTTCGATCAGGAAAACATTGTGATGTCTATCCTAGATTAGAAGTCAATGATTACTCTTAAGGGGATTGAATGCGCCTCGATGCCAAAATATTTTTTCCTGCGCGAAGCACCTAACGCAGTCTATCATTGTATTCTTCCCCCCCTATTAATACTCCTTAGTGGTAATGAGATGAATGAAACAAGGAATGCATTGCGTTGTTAGTTTCAATGTAAATTTTTAGCAGTTGAAGTTATATCAAATTTCTTTTTTGCATTCGATTTATAATATAGGGAAGAATGGCGCTATCTTTTTAGAAATCCGGTAATAGAAACGAGTTCTCGAAAAATTACAAAAATGTAATTTAAACTGGAAAAAAAACGAGAAAATTAATCAATTTATGGTGTCTTTTTTATTTAGAGCCAATCTTATGTGTGTTAGCAATACAATAGCACAAACCAGAATCCCAAAAATCATCTAGTTTTTTTTGTAGAAATTTACTTAATTCTTCTTGTCATTTTGCCTGTTTCTGTCATACCCGCAGCAAACCCTATGGCTCTTTCCTCCGCCTGATTTGCGATAAATTTTAAATCGCTATCATGAAGGATCCAAGGCCAACCGGCCCAACAGTAGCCCAATGCAATAATCGCGATGAACCTCGCATCTTTATTAGCATTAACTTGTTGGGAGTCGTATAGTTCGACGTGCGTTACAATATATTTTAAACGGCGCATTCAATACCCTTAAGCGAAAACCTCCAAAATCATTTTTGTCGAGAATCTTCTCCAACCAAAAAACAAAAATAAAAACTCACCTATATTCACTGCATTTGGAGTCCCACCAAACGCGTTCCTCACATCACCCCCAACACCCATCAAAGAAGCATCGTTATTAACATTGTGAATGTTCCTGTCGTTTCTTTCGCCCTGATGTGCCATATTAATAGGCTCCGGCCTCCCAGGCATCCCTCCCAACGGTTGCACCAATCCCAACGGCATATCTCGCCTTTCTCTTTCTCTCTCGTTGCCAGGCATCGAATTTACCATAGAGGCATTGGACGATGGCGGCATACCCATTGGAGTTTGCGGGGCGCTTCTGGGATTTGCTTGGGAAGTGGGAGCCACTCCTGGCGGTAGAGGAGGCGACTTGGTGCTTCTTGGTGAAGAGTTTGGAGTGCTTCTGGGTGAAGATTGGTGGTTTTTTAACATTTTCATTAAGCCTTCTAATTGTATCATGAGCTGCCTTCTGGAATCTTGAAGGGTAATGAGGTGAGTCTCTAGTTCGTCTTTGCGCATGCGTAAAGCTCGCAGTTCGCTCATTAATACTGGATTGTCAGCGCTGTGACTGGATTCTAGTTCTTGTTGCCGTCTAAAATGTAATTCAAATCAATTGCAAATAATGTACTCATTAATAATATATTAAATCACCTTAATCGTGCAATTTCTCGCATTATTTCTCGATTTTTCAATTCCAATTGATTGATTAACTCTCTTTGGGCTCTAGTGGAATCCATGCCTAGACAAGCTTCAGATGGAACTCTTCCCTAGAAACGAATTTGGGTTTTCACTAGCTCTAAGCTAATCAAATTAAATGTCATTTTATAAAGCTGGAAAAAGAATCCTTTTCTTTCTAAGCAATCATCATGTTGAGAACTTTAATACGTTTTAAGTTGCTTGCGATAAATTGACCTCAAAATTTCAATATGTAACAAACTTTGAGAAAACATAAATTAAGCCACAAAAATTGAATCTTCACTATATTAAAACACATAAATTTAATGATATGCCTATAAATGATTCTAGCCCAAGCAAACTACATTGATGATTAAAGCAAGAATTAGCTGTTCCAAAATACGCGTCAGTCAATATTATTAGTCAACACCCCATACATTGTACATGAAAATATTTTTATTCGCGTTTTCTTCAGTGGAAGTCTATTAGACACCCACCAGGATTTCCTCTGAACAGGCCACCAATATATTCTCAAAAGAAGCAGCAACAACATCCAAAATTACGTTTTTCGGATTCGAAATATGTTCAAATAGTGACTAACTTACATCAAAAAACTCTAACTTAAGTATGTTAAACGCAAGCAACAGATATATACTCACCCCTAGTCCATCAGGTGACAAGGAATTTTTTCTATAAGTAGCATTTCGAGGCTAAGCACACCATGAAAAAAAAAAAAAAAAAATGCAAAATGAAAGCAAAATGTTTATTGTTTATTAAACAAACTCACCATGCCCCCTCTAGCTTCTTGGGCTAATTTGGCAGCATATCTCGCTATTAAACGATGTTCATCATCTCTAGCACTATCCAGGCTATAAAAAAAATGCTTTTTGCTATTGAAAAAAAAAAACTACAAACAAAATTATACCTTCTGGCTGTAGATCGACTATCCAAACTTCCCATGCCGTCAAAACCAGGTGGGAATTGTCCTTCAGGGAAGCCATTATGTGATGGTATTGGAGAAGGTGGACTAAAAAATATTAATAATCATCCAGCAGCATTACATTGGAGTAAAAAAAATTCTTACACAATATGAGATAAATTCAAAGTTTTCTCTGGCTGCTCTGGAAACCTAGGCAAGTTATTTCGTTGCTTATCAGGAACACACCTGAAAGATTTCCTTAAAGAGTGTCCAATTGTTTTACTGGGAGACTAAAAACAAAAACATTAATTTGATTTAAAAAAATTCCACAATTACTTACAAAAGTAGCATATTCCTTAACTTGATGCTCCAAAGTGTGGGGAGCTGAGATTCGACCTCTCCAAAAACAATCCTGACAAAGAGTGTAATGGGGGCATTTCTGGCAACGGTACCTAAAGCCTGTGAAGTTTTCTCTTTGGCAAGCATCGCACTGGATTGGGTGGGACACTGAAAAAAAATTATGTTAGTTAAAAAAATTTGATAAAAATTCCTTACCATTTTCGACACCGGCAATTCTATGAATTAGAGGCAGCCACACTAAACATGGAGGACCTGGATCTGACATCATATTATCTAGGAAGTCGTTGACTGTTACTTTAGCATTCTAAAAAATATATATATATGTTAATAATAATAATAAATTATTTATTTCGAATCAGATAAGATACATTTCCTATGGAAAAGGCCATGTAACCTGTCCAAAATCATCACCTATACAGTAGGGTTCCAAATTGATTGAAAATGGTTTTACTTATTCTACTCTTGAACAATCTGAGGCTCTTTCTACTTCTAAGTTTGCCGATAGTCAGTATTTTATAAATTATTATAATGAATATCGGAAAATTTATAGGAAAGTTATCGGATCAGCAAAATTACAATACTATCAAAATAGAATCTCTAATGCAAAAAACCCTTCAAAAGAGGCATGGTCCATTGTGAACGACCTAAGGGGCAAGCATAGCCATGCAGAAAAGTCAGCTGATATTCAGCCAAACATTCTAAATGAATTCTACTGTTCAATTGCGAAAAAAATTTCAGACAAGATAGAACCCGCCTTAGATCCCCTCAGTTATCTTAGCCATTCACACATCGATGAAACATTCACTTTAACAGAAACAACTGTAGAGGAACTTAAAATCATAATCAGAGACATAAAAAATAAAAACTCTGCTGGAATAGACGAGATGTCTGTCAAAATCTTTCAAAACTTAAATGATAATATTCTCTATGTGCTGTCACAGGCCATCAACAAATGTTTTGAGGTTGGTGAATTCCCCGACTCACTTAAGGTTGCCTTGGTGGTCCCCATACATAAAGGTGGCTCCTTCAAGGACCCAGCTAACTTTAGACCCATTTCACTTTTAAATACCCTGTCAAAAATAGTGGAGAAGGTGGTGAAGAATAGACTGACTGTGTTTTTATCACGTAACAATATAATTAGCGATTGTCAATTTGGATTTCAGTCATCTAAAAGTACTAGTGATGCTGTATTCTGTTTCCTGGAGCAATTGTATTTGAAACTGAACGATAGAGAGGTTGCAGCTGCGGTTTTCTGCGATCTCTCTAAAGCGTTCGATTGCGTTAGACATGACATACTCTTGAATAAAATGTATATTTATGGAATTCGGGACACTTCATTGAAATTCTTTACCTCATATTTATCAAAAAGGACCCAAATGGTTAATAACAGGAGTTCCATATCATCAGCCTTAGCAATTGACACAGGAGTTCCACAAGGTTCTGTCCTGGGACCTATTTTGTTTTTGATGTATGTTAATGACCTTTTTGAATTACCACTTGAGTGTATGTTCACTGGTTTTGCTGACGATATTACGCCCCTTTGGCACCACAAGGACCCACTGCTCTTGAAAGAGATTGTTTCTAATGACCTCCATCAAATAAAAGCATGGTGTGATTCAAATTTTCTAAGTTTTAATATTGAAAAAACCAAAGTTCTCAGTTTTAAATTTACATTTGATAATCTTCAACTTGGAAATCAGTCAATCGGTCTCAGTCAGGATACTAAATTTCTTGGATTAATATTGACTGCAATTTAAAATTTTTCCAGCATATAATCAACTTAAATAAAAAAATTGCAGCGGGAGGCTATGCTGTACGCCAAACGTGCTATGAATTGGGTCAGTCTATGGCTAAGGCCACTTATTTTGCTCTTGTTGAGTCCCACTTGCGCTATGGAATTGCTTTTTGGGGGAACTGCAGTAAGTGTTTGTTTCAATCAGTGTTTACTCTTCAGAAACGTTCTGTTAGGTATATTTTTGGAGCAGGTCTCAGAGATCACTGCCGAGAATTATTTAGGAGGGGGGGAATGTTAACCTTAGTGGATCTCTTTATCTTGGAGACTGTCTGTTTAGTTCACAAGAGGTACCAGGGTACTACACATGCGCACTCCTATCCAACAAGGAACTACAACCTGATACCTTTGCCTATACCAAGGTTCTCTCTAACTCAGGATTCTCTGATTTATAAAAGTATACAAATGTACAATAAGCTACCATTAAATTTAAGAACGGATCAAAATTATAAATCTTTTAGATATAAGGTTAAAAGTTTATTGGCAGATAAAACATTTTATTCTCTTGACGAGTATTTTGATGACAACCTTTAACAGGATCTTGTGTCTGTATCGTGATGTAAGTGTCTAAAACTCAACTTTATGTTTTATGTTTTATGTTTTGTACTACTTGTAGGACAGGGTCTACCTGATTTAGTAATAGATTCACAATGCCATAATAACTGATGTGTTCTAAATTTTAAAAATGTTACAAATTTCCTAATAAGTACTGAATTTTTCTTTTATTGTTAGTCATTTTACCACTTGCTAGTGCCACTGCTGTAGTGTCTTTTTTACTTGTTATCTGTTCTTATATTTTATATTATTAAGGATGTTGCTTTGTCAATAGAATGTACTATAATTTTCTGACAATAAAGCATATTTGAATTTGAATTTGAATTACTTTCAATATCATTAGGCAATAACCTAAAAATCATGTAACTCGGATTGTATGTTGAAGTCACCAGCTACTACTAATTACTATGGTATTGATTTTTGTTGGTCTTAACTTACAGGACTGAATATAGAAGCTGCTAAAGTGTCAGAATAACTGAAAGTTGGCGACTCGTACACTGCAGCTGGCAATGCCAAAACTTCTTGCAAATATTCATTGAATCTCCATTGTATTAGAAGGCCATTACTGTCTGATATTTGGGAGAAAACATCTAAAATGCATTTGAATTATAGATGACATTGTGAGCCAAATAACTTGAAAACTTACATCTGAGTTTATCCATCAACTTTCCAGCACATAAAGTAGCCAAAGCAACTTTGATGGAAAACACTCTAATTTTTCCAACATTATCTCTAAAATAAATTAATTTATTTTTATATGGTAATTAGTAATATTTGTATCTATTCTTACACAGTGGCATAAGCAGCCAGCAACCAGTTAAGCAATAAACCAGAACAAACGTCCACATGAGCTTGTTGTGTCGGTGGTGCTCTTTTATTTAGACTATGATACAGTGAACATAATAAAGTTTCCAGTCTGGCTACGCTGAGCTCAGAAGACGGTTCCAGAGCATGTAAACCTTGTTCGCGGAACGCCTCAATGACGTTCCAAATATCGACTGCGTGCACTAAAATAAAATGTTTTTATTTCAATAATGAGCTTTCCAGTATCGATATCATTTAAGAGGAATACTTACAACTGACTTTTTTCTGAATGAACCTCAATTTTGTAGCAGTTCTGTACGATGCAAATCTAATAAGGTCAAAGTTGTGGGCGCTCATTTCATGTATAAGGGCCAGCCTGTGGTCAGAAGACCCAGGGGCGCAGTCTTGACCCTGCATAGCTACAATAATTCAAATTATACGGAGAATGTATGTATGCATTGAAATGTATTTCAATTTATCCCGACAAACCATTGAATCAATAATTTGTAAGGCCAAGTTCAAAAAATTAAAATTTAAAGGGCATACCTGTGGCAATGCAAGTTTTATCGAATTAGGTCAATCAAACACCCACTGATCCTATAAATTCCAAAATATTAGCAGCTAAACAGGAGAAAAATTAATAACCTTTGGCATTTTTTTTTAGTTTTGTTGACAATAATGAAATTTGTCATTAATGACGTTGGTTGTCAAAAATTAGAAGAAAATATTCCAAGTATGCTTCTCCTTCTCTATCTTATACAGCCAGAAAAGGTCGTAGAGAATACAAACAAAAACCGCAATAAGTGCGAGCGAGACAATAATTCCTCCGTATTGCTGGGTTGCATTCATCAAAATTTGACCATATAAAGCCTAGTACCTGTGCTAGGGCCGAATTTATAGTCGCTCCTTGAGGTTTCCTCAGACCTTAAGGGAGCCTTGAACGTTTAGAATTGACTTGACTAACTTGTCAAATAGTAGCAAGTGTCCATTCTAAACTCACACTCACGACCTCCAAGGAAGACTCAAGGAGCGACTATAAATTTGGCCCCTAGTACTCATAACTGCGAAATTCGCACTTTTTTGACATTGCTTCGACAATTTGACGTTTGATTCACGCATAAAACGTCAATTTGTCAAAGCAATGTCAAAAAAGTGCGAATTTCACAGTTATGAGTACTAGGCTTAAGTATTGACAAAGCAGTGCACCCGTTCCAGAGTGTGTTTAGTTCAATGGTTCTTGGTGGTTTTTGGTAATCGCCGCCATATTGGTGTGTCGCATTTGGAATGTTAAAATGTAGTAAAACCAAGTACGCAAAAAGCAAAAGCCCGCGAAATCATAACCTGTCTGTGGTGCAAACAGCCTACGTCAAGGCGAGAAACGACATGCTGTCTACGTCACAACTGGTGATTTGGCACGGTGGGGGACTTGAGATTTGTTCTACACAGAGTTCATGAGGATAGAGGATAGGCTATCCTTTAGTAGTATAGTGTGTATTATCCTTAGACATGACGTAGCAGCTCAAATATCCAGTTAAGTTCCCCAAAATTTTGTAGGGGGCGCGGGTGAACTTGGAGTGGTTAGAATTTTGGCGATAAATATCAATAGTTTTAAACCGTTTTAATAAGTAGAAGGCAAGATGACTACATATGAACAATGAACAGTGAATAAGTTAATAGTTATTGATGTATCAAGGGTACTAAGTAGATGATTATGCCCTGAGGGCGACACTCTTACAAAGCCGAGGGCTTCTGGCACGAGGGTTCGTAAGTCGCCCGAGGGTATATCTCTATTAGTACCCGTGGTGCATACTAACTTTTATGTCATACCAGTTGTCACTTCGCAGTCATACTAAAAGTGTCACTTCGCAAATTGTCATCAGTGTGCAAACATCATCATTTTTAGACAGTTGTACAGAAAATAATATGTTTATAAGCGTAAATTTATATTTTTCTAATAAAGAATGAGTTAATCGAAAACTGTTTTTTGCGTCTTTATGCCCGCGCGGGCCATAATGTGTACTTTATGCCCGCACGGGCATAAAGTAATGAATTATGTAGATGGTATCAAAAACACAATAATGTATTGGTATGACATAATAGTTATTTATGTATCAAGGGTACTAAGTAGATGATTATGCCCTGAGGGCGACAGCCTTACAAAGCCGAGGGCCTCTGGCCCGAGGGTTCGTAAGTCGCCCGAGGGTATATATCTATTAGTACCCGTGGTGCATACAAACTTTTATGTCATATCAGGGGGACTTTATTTGAAATCAATGCAACTTTGCGTACACACAAACGACGTCATTTGCAACGTAATTGTCAATCTGATGTTTAGAATGGTACATTATGCCTGCGCGGGCCAGAATGTGAATACTGAACCAATAAGATAGAGGGTGTTCCATTTGAAAAATCTTTGTTTTTTCGAATATCTCAGAAGATAAAGCTCCCATATTTTTTCTAAGTACGCCACTGGATTCTACGTAAAAAAAGACGTATTTTTCCTTTTTGCACTTTTTCTATATCTCCGTAGGGTAAGAAGTTATAGAGGATTATAAAAAACAGCTGATTTTGAAAAACACCCTGTACCTCGCAAACCAAACTTGTTGGCCAAGATCTGACTACATCATCAAATGACACACTAAAAAAGAGGTCGGGAAGCGTATATCAGTTTCTCAGTATCTTCAGCCATTTTGGCTGTACCCTATCAAACTATCGAAAATCAACCACCCTGTACATAGGATTGAATTCATACTAACATGGGAGATAATAACTTACGATCCATTCCAAATAGCTGGAATCTCAATTCATTCCTACGCGAAACATAATTTAGTAAGAAGAAGTTGATGACTTAACGTTATGGAAAGCCTCTCCCAGATCAGTGTAGTGTGTACCTCTATATTATATTATCGCTTTTTGCGTCAATAAGATAATATGGGAATTTAAAAACTCTGGACTCTGGATATGGGTACTAGTTTGTCATTCTAAGTTGTTGTGAAACGACCTGTATCTTCTCAATAATTGAATTTATCTCGATCTTCGGTTGTAAAAACATTTGTGCTTCTTTGATTTCTACGCAATGCATGATCCATACCATTATGAAGAAAAAAATGAGATTGCATCTTTCATTATCTATAGATTTGTTGCCAATTACTCAACAAAAGGCTTCAATAAGTGAATCTTCATAATTCTATTAGAAACAGAGAGAAGTGACTGGTTGACGGTTTCTCTTGAAGGTAAGGTTTTTATTAGGATAGATAACATGAAAGAAAGAAGATGAGCCCAAAGATAAAGCTAGATGAGGTATTTGAAGAATGTTTCATTACTTTTATATAAGTAGGTACCTATGTAACTAGTAATTTTATGTAAGTATGTAGAAATGAGAAGTTCCATCAAAAGATCGTCGAAAATCCGTATCTGTACGGTTCGATAAATTTCAGCAACGATCACGACCATATGGTCAACCCACATTCGAGAATTAAAAACACTTTCAGATGCCGTATTTGGCGATCGCGACGCCCCGCATCCTTCGCTGAGGTCACACGTCGGCTCCGGCGTCGACCTGATCCTATATAAAATCAGGGAAAAAACGGATTTTTATGCCTACATTTGAATTCGAAAATTATTACGCTACACCTGACAAAATGATCTTTATGTAGGTACAGGTTTTTCTTGATAGATGCACTTTTCGTGCATATTATGGTAAAGAAATACCATAGTATAGTCGTATAGTGGAATTTACCACCTTCAGTTATAATTTTTGTCTATATGAACTATCCACTACATTTGTAGCTACAGCAAATATTTTGTCTAAGAAAAACATGTAGGTATAAACATTATTCTTCTACTATACCTACCTCTGATGTCGCTGAATTTCGAAAATACTATACCTCTCACAAGAACTTATATGGTCCTAAAGAACCATGACCAACTTGAAAAAAAATATATCTACTATTTTTAGCAGTAGGTACCTATTCAGTAATCGATTATTTTCCTTCAATTTACGCATTTAATATTCCTCCTTCTTGCTAGCGATTGTTTTTGCTTTAACTACCTTAACTTCCTCTATTCCTGTATTCCTGAATAATAATATCATCGGCTCTTTTTATTCCTATGACTTTGCTTGTAGGTTAAACTGTTTTTTTTTTTTATTTTTATTATTCTTGTCCTTTTGTCATCCACTATTATCTTTCTGCGGGGTTCCCTGAAGGGTCCCGTAGGACGTAGTGGAGAGCTTATACGCCGTGTTTTGGAATCACCTGTCTGTATAGAAATAGTATTGTGATATTCTTTATTATTATTCCAGAATCTTAGTTTTCACTTTTATCCCATTTTCTTTTCATTTTCATCTTTAGGTTTTCTTAGAATGTTTTTCCTGTTTCTTTATACATATTTTTATCATATAACTTTGTTTTATACATATAGTCCTCCGTTTTATACTTTATTTTCAAAACTAATAATAGATATAGGTACTTGTATTAAGTACGATACTGATCATCACGTTGGTACTACACAGTTATTTTTGATCATTACAAATGTTCTCTGTGGTACTGTTGGGTGCACTTTCACGTGGGCACCGTACACGCAAGATCATGGGTGTAATGGTAATGAATGAACCATGTTATTGCCTTTTTAAATTGTTTATCGCGCCCGGTAGTACTACGAAAAATGAGCTTAGAAAAAAATCAAAATCAATTTAGATGTAATAATTTTGATTATTTTATGATTTGCCAGTATGAGCTCTGGCGCCACTCTTTGTGCTGTTGCATCAGAGAATCTTGCAATTTCACTTTAGTCCAAAAAAGGACATCTCTGTTTTCGTTCTTCATCGCATCATCAAGGTACATTGTACCGCTTAAAAAGAAATTAGGACAATATATTTTCTTCACTATCATTATCATTACTGAAAAATACGTTAATAATTTGGGAACCTTTTTGCAATGCAATAGTTAATAGACGATGACTCAGGGCACTCGGGCTTCAATGCCAAACTGTTTAACCAAAATGCTCTTCAAGTGTGAAAAACGCTCCTAATTTATAAGATTTATATCAGTGTTGGACTGTAAATACAATAAACGGAAACAATCTCGACGAACGTATTAGGTATTATTACGATTGCTTGCACCTAAATAAAACTATGATATAATCCACCATTAAACATGCACCAGACCGATGGTAAACTTTTCAAATTACTTTGTGTCCGATTATCACATTATTTTAACGGGATTTTGTTCGAGTTTAATGACTTTCAGCATACCTAATTAGAATTCAATGCGTAATAAATGCATTTCTGATCACAGTTGCTTTAGATAACCGTTTAACTAAAGCAATGTTTCTTATCATTAAACTATATAGTTTGTAGTCAATTTATCAGGCCATTTTTGGTAAATAACAATTTGACTCAGCTATACACCATCTTGGTATAATGGTAGGCACCAAAATAAAATTTTGTGTGGGTGCATTTCACGTCAAGAAAAACAAGATGTATGCACTAGGTAGGTTGCAAAGGGGGCAAGGTAACTTAAGGCGAGACATTCTATGTCGAAATAAATTATTATTATTTGGCAAAAATGCTGATTTCGTATTGTCTCGGTCAGTGATTCTTAAGAGAAATGAGTCAGCTTTATTGAAGAACATTTCATTTAATAGATATATAGTGAATTAGAAGCTAG